CTGCTGCTGCTGCTGCTGCTACAACGACAACTACATCTGCAACTACTTCAGTGACAACAGCACCATCAGCAACAATAACTATAATGCAAACTGCGACAGCGGTTTTCTTCTCGCTACGATGTGGAATTGACTTCTTGGTTTGCCTTGAGACTTCCTTCTGCAAATGTATGTGCAAGGTGTTCGTGTGCATATACCTGCGACGGCATGTGCACAGTGTTGTTTGGTTGCTTGTGCATGTGCACACAGAGGCCGGTACATGTGAATATACATGTGTTACTCAGTTCTGACTTGGAGGACTTAAGAGTGGTGGTCGCACACGTTTTTTCGAGATGTCCGTGCTGTTTGTCAACATACGAGTCAAGGAGTCAAGAACTGCAAAGCCTGACCTGTTCATACTTGTTTAGGGCAGTCCTTTTGCGTGACCGAAGGCAAAAGGAAGCAACAGGAACGTGCTAGTCATCTAGTGTCCTGGAGTTTGGGGGTTGTCCTTCTCAGAGAAACTCTCGTAGAACGGGATGTGCCACACTGAACGAACCCCGCAGCTCAGGAGAACCTTTCAAAACCTTTGTTCCTTGGACCGGTGGCCAATGGACGAATGGATTGCTGGGTCCTTACTTCCCCACTTTTCACAAACAAATAGGAGAGCTATGCTTCGCTTCTACTTCTTGGTCAATGTGCGGTCTCATGTCCGCAGGGTGGGTGGTGAGGCTGCAGGTCCCTTGAGTGTTAGCGCGAGCACGCAAGTTAATGAGGTGGTCAAAAGGCGGGGACATGACTCAATCGCGTTCTTGCCGCGAATTCTGGTACATGCATCAGCAGCCGCAGCGTTGCGGTGCGAGTGTCTCTGGAGCACTCTGAGCACTCCTGCTTAACTCATGAGGCGTCGTAGAGCAGGAGCAAGCTGCTTGCCGGTTAAGTGTTACAGACACCCCTCTACAAGCCATACGCCAGCTCTGGCAAAGGCCCGCATCGCACGGAAGCTGGAGCCAGATTCCGCGCGCGACTTAATCTCTTGACTTCATGCCCCATGCAATACTCTTGCTGTGCTTCAAATTTTTAGCATAGTTTCTACTTCAGTCGTGTGCAGCCGGACGAAAGCCCCTGAGCCTCGCCAGGAAGTCGATCTCATGACACGAATCTTGTCTATGCGAGCTTTGGTCAGAGTCCGAGACTGCTTCTGCTCTCGCACACACAACGGCATGTCGTCCCTCCAGTTGTTGCTGTTCGAGCCACGAGTCAACGAGGACTTTGGACATGAGAATTGAAGCAGTTTTCAAGGTAATTTTGCGGGAAGAGGGTTTTGAGCGCTGGAGTGTCTAGAGCTTGGCAGAAGGGATCCAGGGCTTAGTGCAATGCGATCCCCTGCTCAGAACGGGTTTTAGGCTTCAAGGGCTGCTTGCAAGAGTCCTGGATGCAAAAAAAAGGGCTTCTGACGAAATTCCGACCCCCACTCGCCGGCAGCGACAGGGCTGGATCGGACCCTGGGCAGCCCATTACTCCGGAGCTTTGCGCCCGTACTTTGACCACGAGGATACCTTTGCATGACGAGCCGATATGTAGCAAAGCATAATCAGCATGACATGGACATAGATGTCACAAGTGTCACAATACGTTACGTTGCGCAACCCTACACTACCTTGCTCTATGTAATTAATGCTGCACTATGTGAGAGGACATTGCCGTAAACATACAGCACACTGCAGTCTGCTGCGTCACTTTACGCAGATTTCATTGCATTCCCGTTCCGTGAAGATTTGTGAGGTGTTGCAGCAATGCAAATGTGAACGCTAACGCCATCGCTTCCGTTTCCGGTTTTATATGTATACTACATTCCGTTTCATGCATCTGCACGTTCATACCTCCTCGCACATGCAATTAGACGACGTAGGTAGGGCTAGCGGCAGATATCGGATTGAAGTTTTGCCGTCTGTCAGAGGTAGAGTGTAGCATCAGATAACGGTATGAACACATGCTCTACATTGCAGGAGAGCTTCAATAGTATGGAAGAAGTGGCGTCGTTGCTGCGCTGGTAGCTGTGGTAACGGGTGTGGACAATAAGCAGGATCTTGTTGTGGTTACCCACATGCACCCGCATGCCGCACGTCAAGTGTCATCATCACCACTTTTGTTGGTGGTGGTAGTGGTGGTGCTTGTGCTTGTGCTGGAGCTGCTGCTGCTGCTGCTTCCGGTGCTAGTGCCAGCACTGGTGCTAGTGCTTTGGTGTTTTCGTAGTTGCTGCGTCGTCGTGATTGCGTTGGCGATCGCCATCGCCATCGCGATGGTTTGCTCCGTTGCCGTCGACGTGGTTGTTGCTGCTACTGCTGCTGTTGCTGTTGCTGTTGCTGTTGCTGTTGTTGTTGTTGTTGTTGTTGTTGTTGTTGTTGCTGCTGGTGCTGGTGCTGCTGCTGTTGCCGTTGCTGCCAGTGTGTTTTGCTATTGTTAGTGTTGTTGCGCTCGTTGTCGTTGTTGTTGTCGTGGCTGTAGTCGAAAGTCCTGAGCCCCTATGGGCCTTGCTTTGTCAGGTCCGTGGCCTCACCGACTTCTTGAACGCGACCTTACTTATTACTTTTGCCTCTGCTGCATTTAGTCTCGAGGTGTTTGCATTTTCATTTCGTTAGCCCATCGGGCCGGAGTGCAAAGAACATTCAAGCAGCATTCCAGTACTGACATGCTTGAGCCGTTGTGCATCGAAGCTCGGTTCGAGCGCACATCATTCATCTGTAAAGATGCTGTAGGCTGTGAGAGCTATGGCCGAATCTTTGCGCACTGATCGCCAGCGGATGGTGTATGAAAAGGGTGACACAGCTTTCGCGCGTGGGCATGCTCAACATGACATTGCAGATGTGAAATCATGCAGTGTTGCCAAGTTCGGCTGGGTAGCGGAGCTGGCTGCTCATTCCGCGGGCTTCTCCTTTGGATGCTTTCGCTGCATTCGTCTTTTCTTGATAATCACCGGCTTCGCCGCCTTCTTGTCGATGGACTGCTGGTGGAATGGGGACACGCCTCCTGAGCAGAACTTCGAGCTCAACACGCAAGGAGGGCAGAGACCTTGAATTCGCACGAGGTCACAACGAATGCATTGCTTGACCTTTCGGTAGCAGGTCGTGGACTGTTTGCAAACACACCCTCCACCACTTGGAATGCCGCAGGCACCGAGCCTATTCGATTGCAATCTTCCAGCATGAAACAGAGCAGTGCCCGTGACAACATCGAACAAGACCGTGGCATCGCCATGGCGACAAACTGGACGGGAACCAAGCGCACAAATGCTAGTCAGGAAAGACAGGTTCACCCGGAAAGCCACACCAGCAGACCATTGGGACTTAATCGGCGTAAAGAGGACAGTGATCTGTATCGGCGATGGGCTTTAACCAAATGGCGGCGAGTTGGAGCCAAAATCATGACGCGAACGGCGAAGATGACACTTCTTGAAGGTCTAGGCGGACTGGTGCTGCTTGCGCTCTTGATCCTGATGGTGCCGGCTGCGTGCCCCAAGGGGGACGCAGGTACCGGTACGCTCAAGGTACCACCGGCCTGGAGCGTGGAGAGGCAAGCTCATTACAGCTTGCGGGCTTGGATCTCGGATTTTTATTCTCCGGTCTATACCGCCACAGGCCCGGAAGCTCAACGCCTGGATCCGATTGCTGGTCTTCAAGTAACAATGTCAGCCAAGGAACTGGTTCGCGAACGAGCTCATGAGATACGCTCCATTTGGCCAGGAGGCCACAACAAAGGCTGTTTTCGAATTCTTGAGCTTCATGAAGCTTCCAGTGGATCAAGTGGACAGTTTCCTGGTTTGCTTCGACGTGCTGCGAAACAGGGCCGCGCTCAGAGGCGAATTAGCGATGAACCCCAATGGCATGTCATGGTTACTGCTTAGCGCCCTCTCCTTACCCCCTGAGTTGGTTGACAGACTTCTGCCGCCCCTTGGCGGCCAATTGCCACAAAACGAGCAACAGCTCGTTGAGCTCATGAGGAGGATTCGGAGGCAGAGTCATCTGTTTGAGCACACCGGTCGCCAAAGTGGACGCCAGGGAGCGACGGGAGATCCCGGAGCATGCTTCTTACCCACTTTCGGCCCACTTCGGAGGTACCGATGATAATCCGAGTGCTTATGGAGTAAGCTATCCGAGTTCTGTTGCCGATCCTTCTGATCCTCTCTGACATGTCAGCATCTTCATCAAGTGGGTTTCAGGCCATGGTAGGAGGCACAGGGCACTATTCCTCCAACTATCATGCGCATGGCGGCGCTGATCAGTGCAATCATTGCAGAATGTCTCAGAATGTATTATGATGATGATGACATAACCTCATCCACCTCAACGGACGGTGGTCAGCCGGATCCTTCGGCTCAGTCGTTCATGTCGGTGAGACGAGCCGGGTTTCCTGTATAGGCAGGCTAGGAGGCGTTGGCGCAGGTTCACGGGACCTAAAAAGGAACCCCAATTGCCAAAGTACAACGTTCTCAGACTGTACACAAACAACACTCTAAAGTATTGTATGTGCACAGCTCACTCAGCCCTAGATCAAAGTTACCCTGAAAGTCACAAAGCGTCTCTTTCTAGGATCGCGCAAAGTGATCATGTGGTCTTGAGCCACGAATGTGGCAAAGTCATAAAGTTGGGGAAGGATTGAGAACGCGTTACTTCAACAAGCCTCCTTGAGATAAAGTAGGTATGATACTTTACTCTCACGCAAAGTATAACATGTTAAAGTAGAAGCATCTCGCGATAAGATCAGGAGTCATAGCTTTGACTGATAAGGACGGGCCGCACAAAGGTTCAAACAGCTTGCAAGTTCTGGGATTCGTGTCCAAGAAGCAGACGCGAGTTTGCAGAAACACGTTCTCAGCCGAGCTGCTGAGTGCTCTTGACCTTACCGGTACCGCTCTGGCGCTCGACGGTGGACTCACCGAAATGTTGCAGGCCAGCAAGCCTGTTGCAGAAAACAAGCTTCTATGTCGCATGCGCTTCAGTTGGATCTCCTTATAGACGCCTCGTGTGTGTGGGCCAGTCTCACGAACGAAGAAATTCGAAGCAGTGACAGCGCGATGCTTCTTCACTTGTTGAGCTTGCGCCAACATATGGCAGAAGGATTCAGTCGGGCCATATGGGCTGACATTAGGTTCATGCTTGCAGATGCTCTCAACAAGGGCATCATTGATCGGACCGCATACAGGAAAGCTTGCAGTGAAGGGCTGTGGTTCATATCTGCAAGAGCCATTCGTGCGGGCAGTGAGCTGCTCTCGGTGTCCAAGCAAAGCCCCAGCAGGGCTGAGCACAGGCAACCCGAGTCGAAAGTCCTGAGCCCCTCTGGGCCGTGTTTTGTCAGGTCAGTGGCCTCAAGGACTTGTTGAGCGCGACCTTACTTTTGCCTCTGCTGCATTTAGTCTCGAGGTGTTTGCATCTTCATTTCGTTAGCCCATCGGGCCGGAGTGCAGAGAACACACAAGCAGCATTCTAGTACTGACATCCTTGAGCCCTTGTGCATCGAAGCTTGATTCAAGCGCACGTCATTCATCTCTCAAAACTCTGTAGGCTGTGAAAGCTATGGCCGAATCTTTGCGCACAGATCGACAGCGGATGGTGTATGAAAAGGGTGACTCAGCTTTCGCGTGTGGGCATGCTCAACATGACATTGCGGATGAGAAAGCAAGCAGTGTTGCCAAGTTCGACAGCTGTTGCTGATGTTGTTGCTGTTGCTTCCAGCCCCTATGGCTTGTTGCGGTGGGCGATTGTCACAATGCAGCTGGTTATAGGTTATAGGCAAGGTCTTATTATTGATTTCTGCTGCGACATCTTCCTGCGGTGTACTATCTGTTGAAACATCACAGCGGGGCAATGAACTGTTTGCACTGTCAACTTCGCCCCTTGACAAAGCCGAACACGCTCAGTGCTGCAAAACTTGCAGCAAGCGATCTGCCGGTCGTGGGACATGCATACCTCATACCTGCCAATGGCCACCTCTGCACAAGGAGGAATTCGTTCGCCTTTCCGCAATCGAGGCGGTGCGTGGGCCTGTGCCTAAGAGAGCCCCGGGTATCCAGCGAAGCCGGATTATTTTCGGCCGAGGGAACGACATGAACGACTGCCCCCGAATTCAGGCCTTCTACCCATTCTACCCGTGTATTGCAATTCCCAAATCAAATCCCACCTCTTACCGACAAGCTGCAGCCCAACATCCGACCACCACGGAGAAGCCGAATAGCAAGCTGAAGCCAGGTAGCCCAAGCTTTTTCCCGTGACAGTCAATGAGCCCAAGCTTCCTCATGGATTGAGGTTTTCGACCATGTCCGCCTCGGAGGGGCTCCAGCCTAAGCTGCGAGGTTCTGCCCTGCGAAGGTTGGTTTGCGGGCTCTTCCGGTCTGAGAACTCGAAACTAAACCCTAGATAGCTTCAGGGAGGTTCTGCCCGGCTTTTGCCCTTGCCAGCCAGACACATGTCGGAGGCTGACTGAGGCGAGTAAGCTTCATGGCCAACATCTCCGGGACCAAGCAATAAAGCTTCAATAATCGCGGCAATGAAAGCTCTGCATAAGTCGTAAGCCATAATTGGGCCTTGGCCGAGGCCTTCAGGTGAAGTTGGCAGGCACAAGAAGTCCCTAGCCCTGGCCTCAGGCATGGGAGCTGCCTCAAGAATCGGCAAAATGGACAATTCGAGGGTGCCCAGAAGCCGCGCCAGAATCCTCCGATATTTAGAGTAACCCCGACTCTGGTTGCAACCTCAACCGCAGAGTTTAGCGGCTTTGGGATGCTTTGGGACCTGAGGATACCAACCAGCAGGACGCCCCTTCCATTCATTCGCCAGGGGTTTCAAAGGCATCGCTTGGTGTTCTGGTTTCTTAGCCTTCGCGCTGAAGCAGAACACCCGCAGAAGCATGTCCTGAAGTTATAACCCACTGAGTCTGTTGGTGCTTCTAGTTTCCCCAAAGAGGCCTGCGGGCGTTGGAATTGTCCTGAATTGGCAGTCCTGCTCCTTCCACGTATTTGCGGTGCATACTGCCTTCCAGTTTAGTTTTGTGAGTATCCGCTCCAGAAATCGGCGGGCTGCTGCCAAAGTGGCGCGCATGTTTCGGGGTGACTCAGAAATGCTTTTGGAAGGTTGTTGGATCTGTGTGGGGCTTGGACTGCAAGGTGATGCTGTGGGGCCACAGTGTTTCACTGTTTGGGGTCTACGCTTGCGTAATTCAAATTCAAATTTGTTATGCGAATCTTTTTTTGCATGATGATGCTGTTGCTGTTTCATTGGCCCTGGCTCCTGCAGCCGGTGACCTTAAACCTTACGTGGGACCGAGAGTCCTCGCCTGGTCTTGCCGAGTTGCCAGTGGCAAAATCCTTTGCCTGCTTGTTGAGGTGCGCTTGATGCGGGAAGATCCGAGCATGGAGGTTCGGAAGATGGCAGAGCAGGCACCCGATGGCAAGAGTAGTGTCACTAGCAAGTCTTGTGTGTGTGTTTAAGGCTTAGGGCACGTATAGTGTCACTAGTATCGGAATTGCTTACGGGATAGGCCTGGTTTTGAGCAGTTGTCCTACAGCAGAAAAAGGCTAAACAGACAGCGTGCTAAGACAAACGAGGACTGTCACTCCTTAGAATATTATAGTAGTACTGTTGTGGTCTGCTCTTATTGTTTCACGGCTCAGGCACGGCATTGCAATAATTGTCTAAAGACCAACATACATGCATAGGGGAATCCGCCAACCGTGTACACTAGCTTGATTCAGAACCCTCCGACAAACATGCAACATAGGCTTGAGTTTATGATAGTTTATGCGATGTGCAAGGACCGGCCGGCATGCGTGCCCCAGACACTAAATCTCCAAATTCGGCCCAACAGTGGCTCCACCAAAGGGTTTGAGACTGTAATATTTTTAGAAACATCCCTGACGATGCCTGTGGTCTGCCTCGTTGGAAGATTGTGTATCAAGGGGGCAGCCCTTTCAGAAGTATCCAGTCCCCGGCAAAACCCTCGAGGTGTTGGACATGAAGGACTGGAAAGTCCCTCATTGGATGGAAGTCCAGAAGCCTGCCTGGCGCGTCCAGGGCTTAGATGTGTTTGCGCAGGCTTGTACCGCGTGACAACTGGACGGCTTTGACCCTGTAGGGGCAGGCGTTGCCCACCATAACGGGTTCTGATCCAGCCACCATTTCGGAACAACTTCCCGGATTTTGTTGGAGCCGCCCCTCTCTGCTTTGGCGAAGTGGGTTCTTCTTCAAATCAGGGGGTAGGCTTGCAGGCGCCAGATAATGGTTGCGATACAAAACAGAGCGACAATGTATAGAACAACACAAGAACACACACCGTAACACGTGATACTGGTAACACTCGTCCATTTTTGCCAGACTGTGCCTAACTTTGGAGCGCCCGGGAGACGGAGAAGGTGTGATTGAGTCACCAGGAGAGGCTCCCCGGCCCCCGAATCTAGGGGTGGTTGTAGACTAGGGCTTTAGATTCGTTTTAAACGTCTTTTTCTAGTTTCAGAGGAATCACAGGGGCAGACTGACTCCACACAAGTGCAGCCTGAGCTTGGTAGGGCTGCTCCAAACTGGGGTTCCCATGTAGGGGGCCTTTTAGCATACCGGTCGTGTTGCTATCTTTATCTTCAGGATTGCGAAGGGGGACCCTGGTTTAGAGCAACCCAGGGTATTTGACACGACCCTGACACTATCAGAAGGCTTGCCGAAACCCTGACTGCAACTCACGAAAAAGAGTTTAGTTGTGCAGATCCTCCGTGGGAACTGGTGCGTAGGTGTCATCCAATGTTACCCAGGCTTGTGTGAGGCCTTGCCTGCCTTGTAGGAGCTGTCAGAGTGGAATACTTAGAGTGGAAAGCCACCAGACCCCTAGATCACCACAGCTGCACACGAGCGACGCACCTGAGCCGAGGAGCGCGTCAAGCGAGCCATCGCCAACCGCGGCAAGGGCACCCGCAAGGGGAAGAATAGTGAGGGCACGCTGCACAAGCGTTACTGGGAGAAGCTGCCCAGATGAAGTCTAATCCAGCCCTCTAGTTACTAGTTCCTCATTCCTTGACCCAAGACGTCTGACATCCCCAAGAGGTGCATCGCCCATCATGTTGTCTTCCCAACAGACCGAGCATGACCATTTAAGTGCCATGCATACGCTTAGCCGGGAGATCTGACAACTCAACCCTACGTGCCCAAACGCGTCCAAGCTATTCGCCCACATCTTAGACCTGTATACACCGAAATCCGACACTTTATGTTTAGCACCTCTCCCAGGCCAGCTTTCTTTCCGGTATGGAAGGACTCAAGGATCCAAGTTCAAAGGGTGTTCGGCGTTCGGACTCGGTGGAGCAGACTACGGCAGAGTTTGCTGACGTCTTTTTTGCAGGTTATGGCACATGGAAAGACACCTGATCGCGGCAATCCCGATGAACAAACCCACCACTCCTGCACGAGAAGCGGAGTTCAGGGCAGACCCTGCCCATGGTTGAGACAGGTTATTGAAGAAACACTGTTCGGACGTGGATCACTAGTCCTCCGGCCTCGCGTTTCGGCATAGTTCAGATGCCAACAAGATACGAGCACGTCGAGCGAAAAGCGAGGAAGTAGGAAGTTGCTGCGAGTGGCCGTGCCTTAGGCTGCAGTTCTCTGTCTTGCTGTCTGCTGCTCACATGAGTTGGAATGGCAGGCGTCAAGCCACTACAGCTGATTAGATTAAACTCCATCAATGACTGAGAAGCGGATGTGAGTCAAACATAACTGCCTGCCGCAGCGAAGACGTGGGCCAAAGCCGGAGAATTTCCGTGTACGGGTGGCTGGCCGTAGAGTGTAGGACTTGCTAGGGATGCATGCCCGCAATGAAACTCCGTGCCTCGACATGGCTTTATGGTGCTTTATGTTTGAAGTTAGTTCCGGATAGCAGCGGAGGTTCTTCAAAGAAAGGCTTTCTGGTGAAAGGTTCTGATTAGTTCCTTAGATGTCACAGCTGCAGGCTGTACTTGTCATCTCTTCAGGTACCGTGTGTTTATCAAGCTGCTCCAGTCTGCCGTCTTCCGTTGTTTTTCTATCTCTCATAGTCTGGCTTGCGATGCAATTTTCTGTGCAGCGTTCGCAGAAGCCGGGTCTTTCGACTCTCCTGCACAGGACAAGACGAGGAGTATCACGTGTTTACGTAAGCCTGGGAAACAAAAAAGTCAGCTCCGAGACTAGGAATTTGTGTGGGCCGGCTGTGGATCGACGGTTTCACATGAGCACTACAGAGGCCTCCACACCTGGCATTGAAACTCACACCGTGCAGAATTGAAGACTACAGGACACAAAACCGATTTGTGAGTGCTGAAAACTCGCAACAAGACGGGACAGAGCCCGAGCTGACTCGGCAAGACCTGCGACCACCACGACTATACACCCAGGTGATAGTTGCACTCATTGTAGTTACCATATTTTTACCATAAGTCAAGTGCTATTGTTGTTCCTTCACCGAAGTACTTTGCAGGCCCCCTCGTCGCTGCCCCACCTCCGGGGACGAGTGGACCAGGTCTCCCGTGTCGAAGAAGCCGAAGGCAGGGATGCCAAGAGCTCTTGGTTCGTGTTCCTTCAGGGGGGGGGTGGGTGGGCGGCAGAGCAGTGCCCGGGAATGATCGAGAGCGCGACTCGACTTCTTTTTGCTGAGTAGTATTAGCAGTAGTAGTAGTAGTAGTAGTAGTAGTAGTAGTAGTAGTAGTAGAGTAGTAGCGGTAGTGGTAGTGGTAGTGGTAGTGGTAGCGGTAGCGGCGGTAGCGGTAGCGGTAGCGGTAGTGGTAGTGGTAGTGGTAGTGGTAGTGGTAGTAGTAATAGTGGTAATAGTAGTAGTAGTAGTAGTAGTAGTAGTAGTAGTAGTAGCACAAGAAATACTAGTAGTTGTGGTGGTACGTCGTAGTCGTAGTAGTAGAAGTACTAGTAGTAATAGTAGTAGTAGTAGTAGTG